ACAATTAGTCGATTCATTTATTAGTTTTATTTATTTATTAGTCGATTGAAATAATCGGCGACAATGAATTATAAAGCATGCCAACCAGCAATGCAAAACACTCTGGCAAAAGCAGTTTCTGCTTTGTGTTGTTTGTGACAGTTGTCACCGTTTGTGACAGTTGTCACTGTAAGACCACTATTTTGTTTTGTTCCCTAAAAACAACAACTGTTAATGGTTTAATCAACGATCAAAGTAATCTCTAGTTGCAGCTTGACTCAGAGACAGAGGCAGTTTGTGAGCAGGGCTAGAGGAGTGACCATAAAGAGCTGTGTCGTTCGTAGTCTCTTAATCTGTCCACGGCTGTAAGCTCTGAATCATGTGCCCCAGTCTAGGGCACATCCAAAAGTTTCTAAACCTGCCCCTGGTCTTGACTAATAAACTAAACATGACATCATGTGTGTGAAAATCAGTGGAATGTCCCTTTAAGATCTATGTTAAAATTGTCTTCCATGACCTCGGCTTAAAATAAAAAATCTCACAAGACTTTGAATTCTTTTTAGGGCCTGTAAGCACTGGAAAATAAAAACCAAGAAGAATAAAATAGAACAAAATTGTTGGTAGAAAATGTCTCCTAACCAGCAAACAGGTCGTTGTCATCATCAGAGTGAACTCCATTGGATTTGGTGGTTGTGTTGCTCGCCTCCTCCTCACTGAACAAATCCGGAGGCTCTTCATTGACACAGTCTGGCTCAGAAACGTCTCGACTCACAGCCACAGGATTACTCTGCAGACAGGAAGGACACAAATTCTGAATGAGCCACAGAGAAGGGATGACTTTAGAGGAGTAGTTACTTAGTCCTGTCTCCTGACTGCTTTGACGATTTACAGACACAGACAGTGGTGGAAAGTATATTTAATCAGGTACTATTGTACTTGAGCACGACTTTAAAATACTTGTCCTTTAAGTTTTTCAATTTTATGCTACCCTGCTCAACTACCTTTTAAAGGGAAATATACTTTTTACCCCACTACATTTATCTGACAGCGTTAGCTACTAGTAATTTCATTTTTATCAAGATTTTTACATCAAAAACATAAAATAAATTTCTAAAATACAGCACACTGTTAAACATTAAACCACTTACTCTCAACTCCTTGTCGTGCCTCAATGTGTGAGTTAACTCTTTTAACTTCTCACATGGTTTCATTTAAATAGCTGTTCAAATGATCAAATGAATTTTTCACAAAAGGAGTGTGACAAATCTGAAAAATCATCAGATAATCATCAATAATCAGAACTTTCTTTCCAGAACTTCCTTACTTTTTTCCCATGAATCATCTCGCAACATAAGATTTATCTCATGACCCTTTGGAAAATACTGACACTTGTTGGACACCACCAGACTAAACTAGACAGCTGTATAAAAAGTAATGAAGTAGTTAAAACCAGCTGCACCTCCAGCAGCTGCAGTAAAATGTCCCTTAAGCATTTACACCCAGGTATTAACAATCTAATGATGTCAAATATGATTTCAGTCACAGGGGCATTTAACTGCTGAACCAATACTTTTACTTTTGAAACTTTAAGTAAATTTTGATGATGATACTTTTGAACTTTTACTCACGAACGGTTTTGAATGCAGGCCTTTTACTTTTAACGGAGTAGCTATGCATTGTTGTAGTAGTGCTTTTACTTAATTTAAGGATGTGAACGCTTCTTCCGCCACTGGACTCAGATAAGCAAGCATAAGAAGCTGGCTGGGTGGGGTCCTGTGATCTGCAGATTAGTTAAGTCAAACCTAACGAACTCCTAACGAACAATAAAAATATAAGACGTTCAACTGGACAGGGGAGCGGGAGATGGTTTAAATTAAAAATTAAGCACCAAGACAGGCCGAAAAAGCCACAAGCAACGCTAAAACGTACTAGTTAAGAGTCAAAACTGTTCATTTTGGGTACTGCAAACTAACTTCAACTAAGTTCATGAGACAATTTCGTAGCTTTTATTCAAATTGTGACAAGACTTCTCGCCCCTGTCAGCGGTTATTTTGATGCCAGGAACGCAGGTCAGAGCAGATAAAGAGGCTGACTGCCCGGCTCTGACCCGCTTCACTTACTGCAGGTATAACCACCACACACAGGCCGTTAGTAACATGGCCGAGCCGTGAACATACGTTACTAACGAAGATGTCCTCTCCCTCGTCACTGTCTCCATCTGCCATGTCAGGCAGTCCAGCTTCTGGCTCCTCAGCTGAAGGGAAAGGAGGAGGATTCCGGTCTGAGCTGGCCGCCATAGTCCCTGTTGTGAGAGTGACTTGACGTAGGCGGAAGTCGAGGCAGAGGGCGGAAGCTGAGAGCGAACGGCTGCAGCGACACTTGGTGGTGATTTAGTAACATGACAGGCCAGTTCCTTAGGTACACACTATCGTACATTACACAATAAACATCCTCACGTTCAGGTACCTAGTCCCAGTGGTGTGAGAGAGGCCTTAGTTTGTTCTATTTATCATTTACTTTGTATAAGGTTTCTTACTTTGATCTGAGGTGTATTTATTTCCCCCTCTTTCCCCTCTCTGTTCTCTTTGTATTTTTAATGTTACAGGAAAATCTCTTTAAAGTAACAATTCAAAAACTTGGATCATGTTTTTAAGGTGAGTTATATGGGGTTTTTCTTTAGTTTCAATAATGCAGTGTATCACATCTGTATGGGTTTGTGTTCATATTGAAACCATACTAAAACTTTTTCACATGTTTCTGTTGGTGGCTAAATTAGAGCAAGAAGATCAGCTCTATTGTTATGTTTGCCTTTCATAGTTTTCTGCCTCTGGAGACCATGAATCTGAAAACTTGCAGCAGTTATAGTACAGCAAATAAAGAGTCACTTTAAACTTATAGATGAGGAATAAGACTAAACAGTTTTTATCAGTCAGATTCCAGTAAAATCCAAAGCTTTAAAACACAGAGAAATCAGTATGCCTACTTCTGCAACAAATGATAGAATGTATATATTAATGACTTAGAAATTTCTTTCATTAATTGACATTACTTTCATTAACAGACGGAGTCAGTGTCAAGTGCTGTGGACAGATGGAAGTATTTTTCTGATTCTACTACAAAGTTATCCTTACATTTGATCTGGAAGCCAAACTGCTGGTGAGACTGTATGAGCTGTGGATAAACCCCTAATATATAAAGGCAAAGCACATTATTGGTACTTTCATATCATAGTGAGGTGTAGCCATCTCATAATCATAACCTTTTCCATTTTTCTCTTTCATGGAGTCTGAGGTGATTTTGCACAGGAACATACCAATTTTTAGGCCCATAAAATCTCACAGCAGCAGTAGATAGTAACTCTTCTCAATTAAAGTTTTTTTCTCAAGCCATTCTGGATAAAATAAATAAATAAATGAAATAGAAACACTAAAGCCCCTATTGTAACTCCAATCAGACTCACATGAATGGTCGCAGATAGTCTTAATGTGTGCTGAACTCATTTTCACTGTCCTTCTTTACTTAACTTCACTTGTCCTACATTGTACATGTCAGCATTTTTCTATATCCCAGGTTACTCTGATGTGTTGCGCTTTAATTTAATATCATGCGACACTTTTCAGCTGCATCAACAGGCTTAGAAATTATCGCCAACTAGCAGCCAAACGCTGAGCGAGGCTGTTCAATCAGTCACTCTGGCAGAAAGCCAGTCTCCATTGAGTTTCACATGACTATGATGAGAATACCAAAGCTAGAAATCTGATCAAACAAGTAATGGTTAGCAAAACATCACCTTCAAGCTAAAGCAGGTATAACCCAATGACACTGTAAACTACAATTATGAAATAGGGCTTTTAAGATTTTGTGACCAGAGCCTACAAAGAATGGCTCATTAATTGAATCTGAAATGCAGCATCTGTGTACAACAGAGGCTTTAATTCTTTAACTATGTGAGGCTCTAAAACGACAGCTGTCCTTCTGTAAGATCTCACATTCAAGGAAATTGAGTGTTTTAAGCCAAATTCATTGAATTGAATAATGTGGTAATATTTTCTCAATCGGTTAATTAACCGTTTCATTTATGTAACCTTCACAAAATGGTTCAAAATATAAGAGAACAGCAAATATTAACACGTTAGAAGGTGTAACCAGCTACTGTTTCACATTTTTCTGAATTAATTAGTTTTCTGTTGATCATTTTAGCTCTACTTGACCTTCCCAATATTCATAAGACTTATTATAGAGCAGGATAACTGTATTATATACTGTAGGTTTTGGGTTGTGTATTAGTGGTTCAGTGACCTGATGGGCATCCTGATCATGTCTGATGAAAAGAAGACGAGCAGAAACATTTACTTTGTTAGTATTCATAATAGTTTGTATACACAATGTATAGGAGCACCAATAAAAAAACATCTTTTTTTCCAAACCTTTTTTCAACATTTTTTAAAAAGCCACAGATTTTTTTCTACAGAAAGCAAAGAAAGCTCTGTACATGAACAAGCAACAACAGAATTCCTCATCATGAGCTGCAAAGTGAACAACTCGGCTGCTCAAATTCATATCATCTCTGAAGCAAAAAAATAAACATAAAAAAAACAAGACCAGCTGCCTGCTGCTTACCTAGGACACTACATTACACAAACAGCTTTTGATATTTAAAACACAAGATATGTAAGAAATGTACTTTTCAAAAATTGTGAAAAAGTGCAATACAGGTTCAACTGTTTACAACTCAATAGATTATTTCCCAAATGGAGTCCGGTCCTTTTTCTCCCCCCTTTGTTTTCAATCTTTTTTTTTTTTTTTCCCAAAACTTGTTCCTTGTTTGTATCCATAGTTAAAATCTCTTACAGTTATATTGACATTCATGACGATGTACATTTATGAGAAACATGGTATTCACAAAAGTAGAGCAAATTACTATGATTGCAAATGACAAATTTCTTTGGGTAAGAGGGTAATGAAAAACTAGTTTCTTAGATGAACTTTTTTTTTTTTTTTTTTACCTTTTTACATCGGATTTGTGTATAGAACAAGCTTCTTTTTTTTTTTTTTTACTTCATACAAAACCTACCATGTAAAAAAAAATCTGGGAGTCCCATTCAAAAGGCCAACATCTTTGCATCGTATAAGATTTGTAAAAGAACCAGGGCGTGGCATTTGATGAAGACCAGCAGGAAAAAACAGCAAACACACTCCACTGTGGTTAAAATGCACACGTGGTTCAGCATTACAGATATTCTGAAACCAAATATTGGTTTTTGGAAATGACACACACATTCGATTGAACTTCTCGTATAAAAGATAACTTGTCTGTTGCAGGTGACTGATTGATTGAGTGCCATGTGAGGTTTTTTATTTATGTTTTTTTTTTGTTTTTTTTGTTTTGTTTTTTTTTAGGAGGGGTGGGGGTCAGCGCCCTGAGTCCTAGGTACCTCAGACCTGTGAGGAGACACGGTCAAGTCCCACAGAACGATACATAAACTGCCATGGCAGCGAGTGACTCCGAGGGTGGAGGGCCGAGTCGTCTCGACCGTCCAACATACAAACACGTTGGTAAGGCTTTTAAAACGGAGCTCCCACAAGAAACAAAAAGACTGAAAAAGAAGACATTTTAATGTACAAAGGGGGCAACACAATGCCAGAGAAGAATGTACTGTAGAAACACATCAGGCTTCTCTCTCCTGTTGATATGAAAACTGAGCTTCAGGACTCATTTGTAATCCCACTTTCATCCCAAATAATAATAATGAAACAATGGGAAACATCAAAAGAATGAGGCAGTTTAAAAAAAACAACATATGTACATGTTTATAAGGATATGTGTGTAAAAAAAATAATACAATAACATAGAAAATAATAAAAAGTCATGGCACAATTTATGACACATGGGGGTAAAAACAAAAAAAAAATGACCATGTTTATGAATAATGTAGGCTTGTAAAGGGAGGCTGATATCCAATGTTCACTTCACTGAAACTGCCCAATAGATATACAAAATGCACAAAGAAAACACTAATCAAACAAACACTGTGTGTAGACTGCGTCGCATGAGCACCAACATCAAAACCAGCATATTTTTGGACTTTCTCCATTTGACTTGACATTGAATCAACCGTTGTCTCATCTTGAGTGAGCGTTTGCACACAAAAAAACCTACCGTACGCATTTTTGCTGAGGAAAAAAATTCACAATCTTCCGGCTGAAAGCGACCAATGTTTTAAAGTTCATTGTCTCTGAGAATGGTTCTTCATAAAAAGATGAACGTCTCACTTTTCTTCCCTCTCATGGCAATCTCCTTCCTGAGACTGAGCAAGGTAAGCCGAAAAAGTTCCTAAGGTTCAGTCTGGAGTTTTTTTTTTTTTTTCTCTGCAGGGGGATGTGAGAGTTTTCTTGGGTACAAGAGGCCATTTTTGTGTCCACTAGCCTCTGGCTCCCAAGGGTTATGTTTGGGTGTGTTTGTTTGACTTTAGCGTGTGTGTGTGTGTGTGTGTGTATGTATGTGTGGACGACAGAGAAGGTGTGTCTGTGTGTGCGCAGGTGTGTGTGCGTGCTCATGGCGCTGTGGTAATGGCGTTCAGGTCCTTCATCAGGCCCTCGAGATGGGCCATCTCCTCGGTCAGCTCGTCGGGCTCGTAGCTCTGAGGGAGAGGAACAGGGTTACTACGGGGGGCGGGGGAGGGGCAGGGGGGGAGGGAGGCAAGCACCTGGAGGGAGGGAAGGGAGGAGAAGAGAGGAAAAGGAATAGAGAGGAGGAGAGGGTCAGTCAGGGATCTTTCGCAGAGGTACAGGGGGGGGAGTCGAATGGGTGGGATGAGGCGAGCTGGGAGATGGGTCAATGGGACTGAAGCGTCGTAAATGACAAAAACAAGAAGAGGCAGCAGACAAAAGCAAAACATCCAGAACCAAAGAGAAGCACGATGTCAACGAATGATCAACAGCCAGTCAGGGATTAGGACATGAAGTAAAGGTTCAATGGGTAAATTAAAATCATTCCAGTTATGGGTTTTGTTAAGATCAGTTATTAAAAGTTAAATGAATTGATCAAATGCAGCCGACAACATCACAAAAAATGGTGAGATTGAAGTTGGAAAGAATAAAAAGAGAGAAAGAACAAACAGAAAATGTGGTTAAAACCAATGTAACCGTATAATCCAGTGCCCAAAAAAAAACTGACATGGATTTGGAAGGAATGTGTGATTGGTATAATTTTATAAAACACAAGACTGAATAAATCTTAAATATTCACCACCATTAGGCCTGGCAAAACAGATATTGTTTTTTTATAGGCAGCCAGTGTGGGGCACTATACTCACGCTGTCTACATCTTCTAGCATCTTGCTGGTCTCCGGCACATCAGGGGCGTTGGGTACAGTGACTACCATTGGTGTTCGTGTCCTTCCTAGTGTTCCAATGGAGGCTGTTTTAACAACATGGGGGTGAGTGGGGGGCCCTGAAAACATAAAACTATAACAGTCAGTGAAGGCAACAAACACCTGCATCTTGAATTCTTATAAAAAAAAATTAAATCTGGGGTGACTGAATACACTTCACAAAAAAAAAAGATATTTTGATAGTTTTTAATTAATACATTTAAAAATATTTTTATTTAGCAGAGAAACCCTTCACATCAAACATAGCTGGATTAATACACAATTAGACATTTAAATGAAAATAGAAGAATATTTAAAAAATTTTTAGATTGACAAAATAATAAGAGCTTTCCATTGAATCACACGGCCTTAAATGTAAAATTAATTTCAAAATGAATCGAATTACACTACTGAAAAAAATGGAAATCTAAACATCTACAATTCCATGACAACTGACCACTCCATCTACTGAGGAAGATCGTGCTCGAAAGCTCCAGAACTGATACTGAATGGGAGCTTGTGGTGAGGGTTTTGTCAAGAATACACTTTCAATCTCACCACATTCATAAAATAATGTTGATTTTCATTCACAAATCTGATCTGAATGAATGACATTGAGGTTCATGGCTGAAACTCATCCATCAGTTTCAGTTGAGATTCCCTCGTCTTTCCTGGTCACTGTCTGAACAGCCTGGACGATAGTAGGCTGCTTTGTACTCTGATCTGACCTAAGTTTAAGAGTGTGTGTGTGTGTGTGTGTGTGTGTGTGTGTGTGTGTGTGTGGTGCGTGCACAGGCTTGTTCCTCCTCACCAGTCTGAGCGAGCAGGGGAGTGCTGGGCAGAGCAGGCGACTCGTATGATGGATGGCTGGTGGCTGGGATTGCTGGTACAGCGAAGCTCTTGAGTGGGTGGGCGTGGGCGTGCGGGTGGGCTGAGCGGTGTGGGGGCAGGTTGCTGGAGTAGCTGGGCTCCTCCTCTGTGGTGGTGGAGCCGTGGTAGCTGCCCTCAGGGTCGGCAAGGATCTCCGAGGGGCAAGAGACCTGGGAGGAGGCGGTCGCTTGGGGGATAGGTTCTGTATTGGGGGTGTTCCTCACCGACTCTGGAGAGGGGGCAGATGGGGGCGGATACAATGAGCAGAGGGGTTTACAGGCTTCAGCTTTTACAGTCACAGGCTAGGGATCAACAACCAGCTTCATAAAGCCTTTATACAGATTCAGGGCAATTCAACATAGCTTAGTTGATTATGTATTCTTCAATATACAGAAAACTGTCAACAAATTCGGTAATCCATAAAACCTTTCGATCATTTTGTCTCCATCTGTGAGCATTTGGAAGTTTTCTTATGACAGGAAACAGAATCTCTTTGTGTTTTGGACGATTAACATACGTCAACTTGGGCTCTGGGAAATTGTGATGGGCATTATGGACATTATGTAGACCAAAAGACCGATCACCATGTTATCTGATAATAAAAATAACTAGTTAGTTGCATCCCTACGATGCTGAGTTTTCAAGCTGTGACCAGCAAACTGTAAGTATTTTCAAGGTCCATTTACTTTATATTTTACTACAAAATGATTAAGCATTGATCAAAACAATAATGTAACTGTAACTCAACAACCAGAGAACAAAAAGTTGAAATCATTGGCATCTCTGACTGAGGTGAGAAGAGGAGAGCATTAAAAAAAATAATTTCAAAAGGCAAGGATATCAGAGAAGAGGGGGTTAGTAACACTCTGGAAAACTAAAATATGAATTTAACAGGATGGCAGCTGATTGTGGATGAATGAACAAATGACAACTCAATGAATGAGCATGACCAGGTCTGACTTCCCTGTGCTGCTCTGTGCGTCAGCTGTCCAGCAGGGGGCAGCGTCTTGTCTCACCTGTGGAGTCCACCCTGTCTAGATGGGAGATGGGGGTGGCACAGGCGTGCGGGCGTGGGTGCCCGCTGCCCTGGTGGTAGAGGTAGCTTCGTGTTGGCGACGCCAGGCTGCCCATGTGATAATGGTGATGATGGTTATCAAGGGAATGGATGGGGTGAGCACTAATCACAGCTGTGAATGGAAATGGACATGGATACACACACACAAACACACACACACACACACACACAGGATGAGATGTTACACCAGCTGTAATAATGAATGTGGATGTGGTATTGCTGGTGAGTTACACAGACATGCAGCTTTCTGTAATAAACACACTTGAATAGTCTGCCTGTCTGTCCAAATTCAGGAAGGAGGAAATTCAGAAAAACAAACAATAAAAATGAACATTTTATGAGAAGCATGAAATGGACTTGTTCCCTTGATAATACATAAAAATAGCATGAGATATATTTGTAAATTGGTTATTTGTTTAAGTATCTGTGCTCTAATTCTCAAATTTTATTATGACAAGCTCACATTTATCAGAACTCTCTCTCCCTCTCTCTCTCACACACACACACACACACACACATACACACACACACACACACACAAACACACACTTACGCTGAGGTGGCTGTGCGTCAAAAGGCATCATCATTTTAGGCCTCATCCCTCGTCGGCCTGCTAGTGTAGACATGCTGTCCTCTGACTCGTGGCCTAAAAGGTACGATGGAAACCAGCCAATAAGAAAGAGCAGCTACTCTACTGTTCTTTTTTTTTTTGTTTTTTTTTGCGAATGATCCATCTGTAGATCTCAGGATCCTTGATCTATTCATTGGTTTTTGGTTGCACTTCTAAATGCCAGAGTCATACACCACACTCTTTTCTTGGGAACTAATTATATTGAGTGGATTTACTGAACTCGCAGGAAGTTGTAGCAGTGGCAGTGTGTGCTCTTGCAGCACTGCAATAATGACAAGTAATGGGCATTATGTATGAAAAGCATGAAATGTTTTGCATGATAACCACAGAAAAAAGCAACAGGAAAGACAAGTGTTGAACTGTGAAACAAAAACACCATCGCAAATTCTCCAAGACTCCTCCAGTCATGCTCCTGGAAGCAAACCTGAGGGTATTAGCACATTTCCTGCCTAAAAAACCGACTGTATTCATAGTCAAGCTCTCAAAATGTAGTTTCCCGTCTGCCAGCAAAACTCAAGAAGTTTGCTCAGTATTATCATGCATGTGAGCTCAGGCAGCAAGGGTGACATTTCCCTTTGATCTCTTTCCCATAACATCAAATATTAAGTCTTGCACCGTTGGGAGGGACTGACCACGATAGGAGTTGCGCCTCTGCTGCAGGTGGGGGTTGCTCTCCAGGCCGCTGTCGGCCGGGGTGATGTCCTGCGAGGTGCGGGGGATGGGCGTCTCGGTCATGACTGGGTTGGGCTCGGGTGACTTGTCCATGGGTTTGAGTTCCAGCCGTTCATGGTGAATCCAAAGATCAGGTGGCTTCAGGTCTTTGGAGTTTCCCTTGTATTTGTGGGAGCCGTTTGAGGACTTGGAGGCGGCCCGCTTCCTGCAGAGGAGAACACAGGCAGTGGTGAAACGCGACAAAGTGGCCAAAGTCATGAAAAGTTAGAAAAAGCTAGGATATATCTTTTAGAGAGAGAAACAAAAAGAGGACAACAAACGTAAAGATGTGACTGAGCGTCTTACTTTTTCTGGTGGGACGTGGTGCGCCTCGTGCACAGGAAGGCCCCCACCACCACCACTATGATGGTGAAGGCTCCCACTGAGATGATGATGACAATGACCAGGATGTGATTTTCACTGTTGCTTCCCACCCCTGATTTACCTCGAGAGGAGAAAGACTGGATTAGACTAGAGACACATTTGTAAACACGCTGGGAAGTGACGAGCAGGGGAATGAGCCACATGTAACTGCAACAAAAATATGGAACCAAAAGTCGGTTCAAATTGCAGATTTGAAAATGCACTGTTGGCGAAAAGGGATGTAATTTTCATCGTTTTTAAATCCTAGCTGCACTAGTGTCTGACTGACACTATAATAACTATAATAAATAAATGAACTCAATAGCTGAACAGGACACTCAACGAAGGTGGGTAGGAGGAAAATCTTACCAACTGAAGTTCCAGGATCCGGATTTTGGCTGCCCGGAGGCCCTGGCTTCGGTAGAAGATTTGAGGCTGATTCAAAACAGAAAATATATGTTTTACTGAAATTGTCACATGCTCACATGGTCTCTTCAACTCTCACATTAATGCCAAACCTTCATGAGATACATTATAATCTGAAAATTTCTACAAACAAGCTGATTTTGCCAGTCATGCAGTCCAAGTTTTCATCAGCCCAGAAGATGGAAATCTTTAGAAAGAGAGATACACGAGGTGCAGAGCCAGCAGTGAAAGATACAGTGTGGAGGGGCAGTTTACCTTGGTCATTAGCCATTTTGTCAGAGGACTCAGCTTAACAGGCCAAAGGAGAGCAGGGAGGAGAGACAATAAAAAGCAAAAAACAGGTTAGCTGAAAAGAGCAGCGAGGGAGACAGAAATAAAGCACGAGATGGGAATTGTGAGGAGGAGGAGGAGGAGGAGGAGGAGGAAGAGAGGGGCAAAACTCGAAGAATGAGAAATAGTGAGAAAACCAAACAGCAAGAGTGAACCTCAGACACAGCCAAGCTGACATTAGGAGCAAAGCATCTAAATAAAAGTTACGACGGCTTCCTACAAGTCCAGGGCTAAAGACCTAAATTATTTCACTTAACACCCCGTGAGTAAAAGTTTCCTTAAAGGGATGCAGCCTTTCAACAAAATAAAGTGAATGCACGACCAAACTGAACCTAACATTCAGAATTGGCTGAAAGTTTGCTGACTACACTTCACAGTAATTCGGTCGTCCCAAACCAATAAATAGGGCTTGGGAAACATGCCTGTCTCAGTTCTCAAGAAGCTTTCTCACAGGAGAGTTTAAGGAAACAAACTATCCAGGCTGAGCAGCACATTGTTAGACATCAGAGGTTTTGTGTGATGAAATATTTCAACTATGCAAACTAGCAAAGCTTTAACTAGATCACAATTGTTGGAATATGAGGGACCTTTGTTTCAGTGAAAGTCAAATCTTCAAGCTGCGTTAACTGACTTTTTTTGGATGCTTAACTTCATAAGTATCAAACCCAAAGCCCTGACATGTTATTGTCTAATGAAGCTGTCATGGCATGTCTGACGTGTTGGCCAACAGTTGTTTATTTACACATCCACCAGACACAGAGCATCATTAGCATTCATTTGAAGTCGTGTACCTGGCTCCCGAAAAGTCCAGTAAATCCAATATTGATTCTCCTTACAGACTAAAACTATTAAAACAAATATCTCGCTCTTTCTTGACTTTCTTCACCAACTAGTCTACAGCTTTATGATGCATATGAAAAATACAACAAGAAACACAAAATGGACCCTGAGATGTTTCATAATACTTTCTTTTAACACGAACTGGCCACCGGGAGGATGCAATTTCCCATCTTGGTCTGTGACCCGTCATGGAAACTTACTCTTTGGAGTGCGGAAATTTACGGCCTCAGACATGGGGCCCATGCCCTTTGAGTTTCGGGCCTGGATCTTGAAGTAGTAGGTGGTGTCCAGCGTCAGCTCCTGGATCTGGTGAGTCAGACGGTTTCCCACCACCGGTTCAATAACCCAGTCGTGGACCTCAGCATTGACATCTGTACTGTAGTAGATAATGTAGCCTACAACAGGGAAGGTGAGAAAGACAGAGACACATTCTTTACATGTCAGATCCGCTACAATTCTTCCAAGTCAAAATGGAGATGGACATGGAGGGGCCTCTCTGACCGCTGAAGAGTCTAAAAAGTGCAAGGAAACACATTTTCTCTGGACATTTTACATAATGTGATCATCAATTCCCTGCCTAAATGTGATTTCATTAGTCAGCTTTTAGTGAAGAGTTGTTACAAAGACGTCTAAATGGTTGAAATTAAAGACAGCAGGTCAGAAATCTTACTTTTTTCAGTCGAGAAACAACATTTTGAGACTCACCGGTGATCTTTCCGTTGGCCTCAGAGGGAGGCTGCCAGTTGACGATGATGGTGCGAGGTTTGTTCTCTTTGCTCACCACGGTCACGTCTTTCGGAGAGGAGCTGGGAACTGTAGAGGGGATTGAGACAGGACATTAGTTGTGTTGACGATGGGGGTCAGGTAAAGGGTGAAGAATGCACACGATTAGTTTTAAATTCATCAACACGGTGGACTCACTACTACAGTTTACTAGAAGGTACGAGCAAACTGTGTGTGTGTGTGTGTGTGTATGTCGGTTTGTCTTTGAATAGCACATATTTTACGTCCCGAGTTTATGTTTATGATCTTGTATATACCAAATAAACCCCTGGCTGGGCTGAAATGAAAACTGGCTCTTCTTCTCTCTTTTATAAAAAAAACAAAAAAAAACAAAAACGTTCCATACCAGTGGAAGTCTAGTAAATCTAAATTCAATAATGCACATGTAAAAGTGGATTCAGAGAAAATTAGTTTTTGTTTTTAAATGCTAGTTTTATTGTGACGCATCTTTTAACTCAGCATTTACACCTTACAGTGAAGTATGGGCACTGACACTCTCCAGCTTGCAAATTTAAGTATCCATTAGGTTCACAGCACTGCAGGAATCGTAAACAAATACGAGGGTATTGTATGCTTTCAATGCAGAATGGCCGTTGGCTTTTAAAAGGACTTTACATCGCTATGGGTCATTTTAACACCGATACAGTCAATTTATACGATTTTGATTCAGCTGACTCAGGGGAGACAGTAATTATTTACCGTCCTCCCTCTGATACTGTACAAAGCAAAAGGTAATAACAAATTGTGCCCACGCAAGATGAACAGAAACAGAACAGAGGAGGAAAATCAAAATGAAATGTGTTTTGTTCTATAAGCTTGAACCCATAAAAGAGTCAGGTCTTGGTTTGTGGCTCTATTGCTCCTCAGGTCGAGACATCTGTTCATCAGTCTGCAAATCGAGAGAAAAATGTAAACAAATCATCTATTATTATAGAGATCTATTATCATTATTTACTTATTTATTGATTGATTTTTGATCACAATTAGTCCATTGTGCATTTTGATTCTGGATGGAGGCAGGGTTAGTCCACAGCAGTGCTGAAATTATGTTCCGCAATCACCAAATTCGCTGCAGGTTTCCTCAGGGCTCGTGACACTGGACGTGCTCTTTGTTTATGTCCTTGTGATTATGTACATTTTGTGCGTTTCTGCAGTGTGTGTGTGTGTGTGTGTGTGTGTGTGTGTGTTTGTTTGTGTGTGTGTGTGGGCTCCTACTGGTCTCAAATGTCGTGCCCTGCGCTGTCATGCTCCACGTGCTGGTGCGGCGGCCTTTGGTCACCATGACTGAGAACTCGTACAGTGTGTTGGGCTTCAGACCCGTCACCATGTGGTTCAGGCTGGTGGTGTTGGCCATCTGGGGAGAGACAGGAAAACACACAAAGACAAAGACAAAGACACACACACACACACAAACACACACACACACAAAACAAACAATAAGTAGGAATTAAGTTTACATTCAGTCAAGACAAGCAGCTATCATTGTAAGTGAGAAGCAGGAACTAATAAACGGGAGACACTTTTGCTTGAAGAACTATTAAAATGAATATTCCATTATCAAGACAGATGCCATTTATTTTTCTCTCCATTGATTAATGGTTTTAGTTCTTGAGATAATTTCCAGTCTGAATGTGTTAGGATACGTTACACACACTGAACACTGAGTGGAACCTGAACCTTTTACATTTTGTGATGTGCTTTATCACGTTTGGTGTGAAATTCAGTGTCACACAAATAAGCTGTATAAAAAAAAAAAAAAGAAAAGAAAATCTCTAAATTAAAGTCAGCAAATTTGAGATCTTGAGTTATGTAACCATTTATCTTGACCTCCACTGGCATAACAAGAAACCTTTAGCTGGCTGGGGGACGCAGCAGCAGCAGCGGCTCAGGTCCACCGGTCTCCGACTGTCCTATCTATAACATTGCGTGCTATGACAAAAGCGCAGTTCTCCGGTGGGGGCTGTCAAACAGAGGGCAGTAGCATAGGAAGAGAAAACACTGTGTTCTTTAGAAACACGCAGCCAGTTTGAGAGCAGTCGTCTCTTCAATAATGTACAAGCTTGTCTGGGTTCGCTCTAAGAGAAGACGGGACATGACGAAGAGCAGCATTAAGGTGAAAGCAGTGCTGTTGGTTAGACCGGTCTCGACGGCTACGCTAGCATACATTCAACAGGATGTAGTTTTCAGAGCACAGAGGCCACGCTGCACAGCTAAAATAAAAAAACACCAGAAAAGAGCGCTCTAACAGACTTGTTAATGTATTGGATTTAGTAAATGGGACAGAAACATAATGAGCCAGTGGAGTTCTTTAATTACTGTCACACTGTGAGAATCATCTACTCATGGAAGCAGGCTGAGCTGTACACTATGTCGTAGTGATTTTGCGGATTTGTTTTCTGTCGGTGAATTTGTTGCATAACATCATAATCACACACCACCTGTCCTGTACTGTCCTTTCATTTTGCTCTGATTAACAATTAATGAATGAATCATAAACCTCTTTAGATATTTGGTCGAAAATGGCAGGTTGAAGCTCGTGTGTCAAGGCCAAAAACTGACAAAGTGCTGAGTGGGAGCATCCTGTACAAGATTCAGCTGCTCTCCCTCTCTGTGTGTGTGTGTGTGTGTGTGTGTGCACCTTCTCTGTTAGCTGTATGAAGAATGCACTGTCACATCTACACCCTCTTTTTCCAGTTCTCAGTTTGTCCTTTCCTTGCTGAATAATTTATCAGTAAACGCAGGCCTTTATCTGAGCTCTGCTCGGTCACAGGATTGCACACATTCATGCAACCGTGAACAGACACACAAAAACACACACACACACGCGCGCACACACACAGTGATCCAGTATTTGAAGATAAGCAATCATCATAATTGAGCTGCAGAATTGAGAAAGAATTAGAAGCTGAACCTCAAACACCCTGTTTCAGGCTCGGCTGACTGTGACTCTCTACAAATATTTGTACTCTATTTAATACATTACACCCAGGCGCATGACTGCACACACAGTGACATTAGCTTTGCATCTGTATGACACCGATCACAGCAAATCAGTGTAATAATTCGGTGTTGCACTTTGTCATTTCACTGACCGCCAACTCTGGAAAATGAGCTTTTTTCTGGATAATAACTGCTTAACAGCAATTAATTGACGACTAATCCGTTTTATCACCATCTCATTATTCAGTCAGAATGTACTTGTTTCAGTTTCTCAGATGTGAGGTTTTTTTTCTAAATCACCATAAATCTGTTGGTCAGACAAAACAAGCAACCTCATTTAATGAACAATATAACACTGATATTAAAGTTATAATCCTCAAGGTTATCATGAAATTAAATGTTTTTGATGATATTTACTCTCCGTATTTTCTCTGTAACAGCCAGTCAATGCACTTACATTCAGCGATTCAGTTCACATGAAACGATGAGTGAATGATGAGTTTTTTTTCATCAGCCTCACTGTTCACTGTTCACTCTCCTACAGCCGTATTGCAACTGTGTAAAGTTGCTGGTAGTAACATTTTCCTACTGTTGCTATTGGCAAAACACAGAGTGGCTTTTACTGTGACGCTTCCACAGGAAAAAACATTTGTCAACCTGATTAGCACTCTATGCAATCGCTCATCGAAAATGCATCTACAAAACAAAACAAAACATTTTTGGTTGCTGCTGCTGCTCAAAACAAAACGACTTTGTTTGACTGCACTGTAAACACATACACCAGCTGCTCCCCTGTTGTTTTTCTGACCAAGGAGCTGCTCGACGAGTGTCTCTGCTGTAGCATTAAAGTGCACTTTTCTATCGCCACTGTTAACCACGAGTGTCGCCAAATCAAGCAGGATGTAAATCTTTAGGATTATAACTTTAACAGATAATGAAAATACTACTGTACAGTCATGGAAAGGCTTAAGCATAACTCACACTGGTGACGCCTTTATGGTTTAATTAAACCAGTAAACTTACAGTTATAGACTGAGATGAGCTGACTCAGCTAATCGCTGAGCTGAGCCCTTAGACAACCTCTCATAGGAAGGAAAGGAAGAAGCATTTTACAAACCACAAACACTAAGTCTGTTAATATCCAGCTGTTAGACGACTGGAAAAGAACTTGTTTGTATAAACACTGTTGACTTCACCCTTAGACTGTTACTAACACAACCTAAGACAGTGTTGAGATGGTTATGTGTGCAAAGTGACTACTTCTCTTCATAGTGCTTTGAAAGTTGTGTGAAAATGAATGATTGCTTGGTTACAAATACCAGCATTATGCTTCCACTGCGCTCGGAAACTGCCTTGGGAATACTTTGTTATATACAATACCTGTCAGAAGTTTTAGAACACCTCCATTTTTCCAGTGTTTAATGAAATTTAAGCAGTTCAAGTCCAGTGAATAACCTTAAAAGGTACAAAGGTAAGTGATAAACTGCGCAAGGTAAAAAAAAAAAATTAGTTTAGCTCAACAAAAACTGAAAAATCATTTTAATTTCATAGAAAACAGGGATGAAGAAATTGGTTAACTTAGCTTTCCTACAGCAATGGAAGCAAATGAAGCCTTGAACATCAACGCAAACAATTCCTCCAGCTGATGACTTACTGTGTGTACTATGTGTGTACAAAGGCAGTGTTGGAACAAATTCTTACGACACCCTCCGATGCACTATTAGGATGATACCGTACTGCAGGAAGTACTACTGTATACTGATATCAGAGGGAGCGAGATAATGAGCCAAAACATTAGCAAAGAACCAGACGGTGGCTTGTCACGAAGAAAGAGCAGCACATGCTCCAGACCTAAACCCCATGGAGGTGGAACAAGAACGCCGCAAGTGTGTTCAGCTGCTGAATTCAGGATTTCCTGTGATTCTTTTTTTTTTTTTAATCTTTATTATTTGTTTGTTCTATACTTTAATTTCAGAAACACTGAGACATTACACGATGTAAATGTTTTGAGGTGTTCAAAAACCTTTGACCTGTAATAGACCCTGACACGATATTACCTTTTATTTTCAGCATCAATAGATCAGACATCAATACATCAGACATCAATACATCTCTGTGGTAAACGCAGGCCTGAAGGCATGCACAAAGTCCCACTGCACTGAAATACAGAGAAACCATACTGTACTGAATGAAGGAACAGTACTTAAGTTTGATCAGAGTGAAATGATTGGAGATTTCCTTAATTGAATTACACTCAGTTGTAAACATGTTAGCTGAGCTTCAAAGTGCTGAGGTAAACCAGAGAAAGGTGAGTGAGCTTCGACGGTACCAGGCTTCAGATCATTCTGAGTTTAAAAATCAAACCGCAGCTTTTGTTGGGGAAGTCATTCTCTGACGATTGAGAACAAATGATGAAATAAAACCTTTTAAAACTGTAAAATGATCTCTCACCTTCACTTTAGTGTTGGCAGGGATGTTGGTCTTCCATCGCACCGTGTAGTAGCGGTTATCTGTGATCTTTTGGTTCTTGGGCAGCGAGTTGTCAGCCCAGGTCACCTTGATGGTGTCGTGGCTCAGCACGGAGGCTTGAACGCCCACGGGTGGCATCATGGGGGAGGGGTCTGGTACTGGGGTGTATGGAGCATGGAAGAGTTCGTACAGGTCAACATCGGGGTCTATGGGGTCTGCACGTCAGGCAGTAAACCATGCAGACAAATTAAAATGACCAAAATTAAAACATAAAGAGAAGCGTGGCGTGGGTTGATTGGACAGTGAAGTCAAAACAGGATGCAGGGAGGGAAGAACAGGAGAAAAATAAGGTTAATGAATTAAAATGATTGACAACGATGGAGGAGGAAGAAGGTAACGGAAGTGCGACAAGGATGGGATTGGGAGGGGTGAAGAGAAAGAGAGAGAAGATTCTATTAGAAAAACAGACACTGACCTCTACAATAAGACACATCTACTTGGTTGCTATAGAAGCTACTGTACAGTATGTGGTGCTCTATCAATAGCTACTGTAGCACTACAGAAAGAGAGGAAGAGACACTCTATTCATAAGGAAAGACTACAGTCAATGGGAAAAGTAGAGTGAAAAAAGATACCCACAATTCCTACAGTCAACATTTTAAACATTGCACATTACAGCGTTGATCCAATCTTTTCAGAAAGATGCAGCACTAAAATGTTTACATCAGAGACCTTTTCACAACATTTTAATTCAAAGTGGATGAACAGAAGGACACTGCATGCAGTGGAACAATTCCCCCTGTGCAGGGAGATGTTGGACAAGGTGCCATCGTGTCCTTGAAAACTGTGGAAAGAATATCAGGGCTTTAAGTAACAGAACCTGCAGGCAGAGAGGAGAAGAGAAAAGGGTCACGGACAAGTGGTGGTTGGATGTATATGTGCCGAGAGCTGCTTCTGTTCTGAGGCTCAAAGGCATTCATTGGAAAGCTTGTGGTGAAAGGTAGAGCTTGGTCTTTCTCACACAGATTCCACAGTCACTCTTTGAATCAGCACTAGATAACGACTAACATGCATTGCTCCTATAGGAACGACAGTACAATCACAGTAATCCTCTTACAGAGATGTAAAACTAATAATCCTTTTTGGTTTGGAACAACATATTATTGCTTTGCGTGTTGTGTATTATGTGCTGTTGTGTTGCATGTTCTAATTAGTACCAAATAATGTAGCATTATGGTGTACTGTATGTTATCTTTACTAAAATTAGTCTTCTGTTTTTGTCATCTGTTTTTAAAGACCTTTTCAATTTTTATTCTTAAATTCTTTTTTCAAGGTGACTGTGTAACATCTGATGAAAATGATGAGCCTTTTGCCTGACTCACATTTTTTTTTTATTAATACAATTTCTTTGATAAATAAATTACATAACTAGCCAGGCCTTCATTAAAACACATAAACACAACACAGAACACGAAAATTCTGTAAATCAAATAAAACCATAACTGACTTGTGACATTACCCACAATGCTAAAGGTAGTAGAAACAGTATAATAATCTCTGATGGTTGATAAATTCCTTTGGTCTCACTGTATGTGTATATCATATCCATCTGTTCATCATTACAGTGAATTCATTTAGTGGTATTCACTTTTAAGGGCCCCATACAAAGCCCAGTCCAGCATTTGAATACCATAAATGGTATTTACTATGTTACATAGCAACAACATGTTGCTTAACTCGCTGTTTTTGTAAGAGCTACTGTGTGTATGTGCTTGTATGAAGAACACTTGACTGTATTTGTGTGTATGGTGCCTGCCCATTACACCCCATAAAACCCAGTGTGTATGTTTGTGTGTCTCCGTGTCTATGAGAGGGAAACAGCTTCTGGGCAGCATACTGAAGGAGAAACGCTTCAAGATGGCCTCCTGGCCACCGCTGCCACTGCGTTCACTGCGGCTGCTTCTGTCCTCAGTTTGGATGCAATGAAAGAAAAAGCTCTGGTCAGTCACCCGCGATGACATTCCTCCTCAATCACTTGTGGGTGCTCTCCTCTCCTCTCCTCCTCGCTCTATTTGACACCTCTTTGTACAGAGCTGCCCTCATTATATTCCCAAGACTGAGTCAGAGTGTCTGTGTCTGTGTGTGTGTGTGTGTGTGTGTGTGTGTGTGTGTGTGTGTGTGTGTGTGTGTGTGTGTGTGTGTGTGTGTGTGTGCGTTTACGTGCATGATGGAGATCCAAGGATTCATGTGGTTGTGGAGAAGCACTGAGGTTTTTGGAGTGGCATACAAGCTGCATTTCTTTACGCAGCTTGGAATAATACAGTCTCCAGTATTAACAAGCAGAATACACTGCAACAAAGTCGCTGACTTGCCTTTGTGACATTTTACAGATCAGTGTAAAATCCTTCATTTCCTGAATATCAGTTAAGACATCAGAGTATTTTAACATATTCAACCTAGCACTCTCTCAACCTAAGTTCACCAAGTTTTTTTTTTTTTTTTTTTTTCAAAAGTAAAAGTACTATGTAGGTCAGCTCGTCTTTTTAATCCCGACTTGAACAAACTGGCAGGAAGGGAACGCGCCCCCGAGGATTCAGCAGCAGACGATGGTGGTGGGCTTTGGTTCTGCTTTGAGAGGAAACTTTTGGATCTGACGAAGGGTTGCCAAAGTCACCACAGGGGGTCTGCATGTGTGCAGCGTGTGTGTGTGTGTGTGTGAGAGAGGATGTGAGGAAGAGAGAGTTTCAGAGAGAGAAGTGTACAGTATGACAGTGCGCGGGTGTATGTGCACACTTAGACTGCCACCCCCCCTTGAAGCATGTTGACATGATTCATGTCATCCAGCATCCCACCCCTCTCAAGCTCGGCGGTGCAATAGTGCTGCAGCGGAGACAAACTGGAGTGATCAAGGCTGAGCGGGGAGGTGGGAGGCTGGATGGGAGAGGAGGCGGGTGCAGCCCACATTCTGCGACACCCCGGGGAGCATGGGCTGGTTGTCTTCTGACACTGTCACATAAACTGCGTGAACCCCTCTCACATGCAGTCTAACTGGCAGTATTTCACACTTTAAAGCACACTGGATCGGGACTTAAGTTCTATATCTAATTGTTAACAGGGTTGTGATCTGAGGCTTAAAGAATTATGGATCGTGTGGGTGGAAACTGAGCTGGATTGTCCATATTTTCTCAACAAATACAACAAAGCTGTTTCATTCTATTGCACAGAGATGGCAAAGATGGCTGTGTCACAGAGCCCGACTGACTGACTACTAGAATTTTGAGGCCAATACTGATATTAAACAAATATAGTACAAATGTAACTTGGACCGAAATGGACAACAACCCTGCGGGCAAATGACAGAACTGGGAACATTAGACAGGAATTGAATCCATGTCACCATTTCATTTTGTTTCTCTTGTTATGTAAGTGCTATGCGTCACGTTGTGTCTCCTACGTGTTTGGAAAAATGTAATTTAAAAGAAAATGCTTTAAAAAAAAAAAAAAAACCCCAGTACCCTTCACCTTACATAACATCAACAGACATTTTAGATATTAAAGTTCTACATTTTGCAACTGAAAAATAAACTTGTCATTGCTCTCTGGTGGACAGTGTCTAAATCACCTCAAACATACTGAGGTGGCAGTACTGTCGTGCAATCTTGGGCAAAAATATTGGCCGTGCCGCTGTTATCAGTCGGTGTCTGCATTGAGGTACATAAAATATCTTTTGCCTGATGAAGACCCTGAAGGATTGAAATGTTGCTTCTGTAATAAAGTTCAGCAGCTACGATTCAACCTCTCTGCATCTCTGCTTTTCCTTTCCTGAATCTATCATCCTGCATCTGGTTCAAATACAGGATTTGATGTGCACTAATCTGCCCTTCTGAACCCAGTTTATCCTCCAATAATATTTCTGGCTGTACTTTCTCATTAGGATATCTGCTCCATTAATATATGAGGAGCTTGTCCTCAGTAATCTAATATCAGGAGAAAGTGGTAATCTAGGGGGTCAGAGATTTGAAAAGAGACTTGAAGAAGAGAGTTAATTAGAGCAGTGAAACACCCCGATGACACGTGATCTCTGCGGTAATTTGGAGTCCAGACACAATCTGTCTGATATTGATCTCAGGATAGACAGGGCTAGGATAAATGTCAGTCGAAGTCTTTTTTATTTGGGTGGGTAACTACAGCTTTACAATGTGAGTACTGAATATCCCATAATACTGTACGTGGTTTCTGTTGTGTATGAGCTAAAGGAAACACAGTTAATGAGATTTTTTTTCCATATATGGAGAATATAATTGAAATGACTGCATCCTTGTTTTGTAGTGTATCAAAATGGAAGAGAGACACTGTATTTCCAGGTAAGCAGGTCAACGGATGGATGTGTTGATTTGGATGTTACTACATACCTGACTGTGGTCTGGTGATGGCGCTCTCATACACAGGAATCCCCTCACCCACATTATTGAAGGCCTTCAGTGTGATCACATAGTGGGAGCTGGGGTCTGTGAGATAAAGACAGAGAGCGGCGAGCGAGGTGAGAAGAGCGAGATAAATCGATGCAGCCATCTAATCAAGCCAAAACTCTCGAGACTCTCGACTCATAATTGCAATATTAGCCAGAGAGAGTATTTGAATACAATCATCTCTCTTACTGTGATTGTAATGAAAGCTTCAATTATGCATATATAGATATTTTGCAACAATTTCTCCTTTAAATCTCTCCATTTCCTAAGATTATTTCTTTGACTCATAATCCACTTCCAGACCCCTTCCCGAGCCTTTGATTACTGGTGCATTGCTGATGGCGATTAATTATGACATTGATTAAAACCAATGACAGAATGCGAGCGATGTAATGGACACAGTAGGACAAAAATGGATTTTTTTCTGTAGAACAAAATCTGTGATCGAGTGTCTAGCTTTTCAACAGAGCGGGATCACCGCTTCTTACTGAAATAAGCTGCTTCCTTGAGTTTTATTAAGAAACTGTTTCATCTGAAGACAATTTGTGCCATTTTCTCAAGGGTTGGACTGACCCTATGCAGAAAAACGGCACTCGTGCAAAAGCAGAACCCAACAGAATATTTCAGTCGGCGAAACTTTCTATTTCCTTTGGTTTGATGACAGCAAGTGTGAGAATCACCAAAACAAATCTGCCTTATTCAAACATTATGGCCTTTAATTACTGTGTCCCCATTAGGCCAATCTGTGTAATTAGTGGCTAAGGCCTGTGGTGGAGAAGATCTCATTAATTCTCTAAATACTCACTATGACCTACAGATGAATCGCCTCATAGTGTTTGCGTGTCCGTCTGTGTATGTTCGCTGATTAGTAATTAAAATGTTTTTATAGCTGTATAATAACTTCATTAGAGTAGTGTATAAAGTGCCAAGTTAAATCACATTTATATTGATAAGTAAGAAAACTGTAATGTTTTAAATGTAGATTCAAATTAGTCCCACAGGTCATATCAATAACTGCCTAGCAGAATTAGACAGAAGATCCTCCAATGTAATTATGTGTGATGAAAAAGAAAAAAAAAAAAACAGAACTCACGCATCCAAACAAAATGAATCCCCACGAGTGATTTGTTCTTACCAAGGTTCTCGATAGTGTAGTAGCGCTGCTTGTAGTCCACTTTGATGGTCTGAGCGTGGGGACTGCCGATGCCATAGCCGATGGTGTAACCGCGCACCACAATGTCCTGGTTCTCTGGCGGCGTCCAGCTCACCACGATGCTATTGATGAGTGGGCGGACATGCAGAGAGCTGGGCTGGTCTGGTACACGTGATTCTGGTGAGGGAAATGCAGGAATAAAAACTTTAGCTGAGTTCTTCAATTCCAGTCGACGATCAGCTGATTAAATGCTGAAAAAGACGAATCACTTAACAGTAAAAACACTGGAAACATAATCTGGTTTATAGTCCGTATGAACTGAGTAAAGCAGGTGTTTTTACCATCCAGGTCGCTCTCGAACGTCTCTGCCGTGGTCCAGTCAGTGGCCGGTCCCGTGCCGTTCACCGTCATGGCCGACACCCGGAAGGAGTACTCTGTCCCACGCTCCAGACCTGGACAGGCAACACAAGCAGGTGAGGATTCAAAGCTTGGCTATTTAGAGTTGTGGCCAAACTGAATCTCAAGCAGCAATTAAAAAAAAAAAAAAAACCTCTTTCATTATTACTTCCCAGTCTTTCTCAGGCCTGAATTTATTTTAAAGGTTCGCTCCACTTGGCTAGTTAAGTGGGGTTTCGAGTCACAGACACAATAAATATTTTGTAAGCACAAATATTTTAAACATATGCCTTACACCTCCGTGCACTATTTAAGGTGAAAATCTATAAATCTCCCTAGGGAAGGATCGAGTTTTCTGTGGTGCAATTAACTCCCTTTTCCACTCGATGTCATGGAAGCGGTTCAGATTTATTTTTCACCCTTGGTAAAAATGTATCTGCCGTTTAGAAGAGTTGGGCAGCAGCAGCTAGCACAGAAAGTACGACACTAAGGAGCTAAAAAGAGTAGAAAGAAAACTTTTGGAGTCTGGAATCGTTCATATTTTAAAGCTATGGCTCCTTCAGAAAGAGCCGTTTCACTGCTGGGTGCCAGCTTTGCTATTCAGAAAAGAGGGGAATGCCTGCTGACAAATGATGTGTAGCTGTATTAATTTGCTGTAAAAAAAATAAAATAAAAAAAAATTTCATCATTGTCATATTGTCCCATTTGCACACTACATGCTAATCCTGTAGTCTTTTCTCTCTGTACCCCCTATTCTGGGCCACCCTTGGGGGTAGCTTCTGAAGACTGCCTAACCATCCGTGCCTCCGAGGCTACAACATCTCCTTCTAAACGCTTTTGAACCAACAAACATTCCTCTGTTTCACCCCCCAGAATGTTCTAAAAAATCAACTTTTAAGTGTATATTCTCTTTGATGCAGCACACAGCGTGAGGCCGGGCCACTTGAAAGTTGCTGAGACAACATCTAATATTAATCACCATTGCTGTGTGTCTGTGTGGTGATATTGTGCATATTTTGGTGGTAGCGGCGGGTAATGTTAGGGTACAGTAAGGCATGTAACTCCACCTCAAGAGTATTCAGATGAAATCTAGATGTTGATTAAATAAGCAGACATACAGCCAGACTAACTCCAAACAACAGCTCACACATGTCTTCAATCTCAAGATCAAGGTTTTAAATATTGTAGCATGTCAGAAATATGTGACAGATGAAATGGGAGCCTGATAGCGTGAAAGCTTTAATTGTTGATTAATCTGGATTCATCTAAGGCATCGAAAGGGAACAGTGGAGTTTTTTTGTTCCCTAACAATAAAGAAAATCTTTAAAATCATCTGTCATCTTAAAAATCATGTTCAACAGTCATATCAAAATAAAAGCTTTTACAGACGAGTTGGAGACTGTCTGTGGTCTTCAATGTAATGCTGCAGTAGACAAGCTGTGTTTTGAGTCGAGGGTGCAAATTACAATTTGCCGTCACCATTTCTATCGCCCTGTTCACTTGAAAGTGAACCAAGTGGACAGCTCTAAACTGAAGTGTGAACACACCCAAAGACATATTGAGGACACAGCGGGAGGCAGTCACAGAGGCCACATTTAGAGGAAGTCTGGGATGCCTTTGTCTGCATTCATAGTGTAGTGTAAATGTCAGGATGTCCCCAGCACTACTAGGATTGCCTGTTTAACTTTTCAGTATGCTTTTATGAAGAAGCCGCCTCCATAACACACTCCCCTCCTCTGCATTTCTCTGCTTTGTTACTTGTATTTCTGCAATGATCCCTCCTGTGTGCAAACAGTGACGATATTCTTTTGTGCAGCCATATGTTGAATATATTATGAATGTTTTCTGTTCTTTCTGGCAGCAATCAAGGTTTACCATCTATAACTTCAAACCATCGTCTTTAAACCCACTTATCCCATGCAGGCTTGCAAGAAGCTGGAGCCTATCCCAGCTCATATTGTTTGAGGTCCACAGTCTATCACAGGGAGTCAAACTTTACCCACAGACAAAACCAAATATGAGAAGCAAAGTGAAATTCAACCACAAATGTTGACTTCGAGATGCATTTAAAATGTGTTTGAATTCCAGGTGTGAACTGCGGTCCATCCTCTGCTGGATCTAGATCAACACACAACGTGGGGGGAACAATGCTAGGACTGAACACTAAAGCTCTATAGCTTCTGTCCATCCACTCATACACTAATAAATGCACCACATTCACACCCACCTTCAGGAGATCATTGGAAAAGTCTTTCTGAGAAACTGCAATGGAAGACAACAAAGCTAACTCTCTCTCACCAAATTAGTCATGGAACATAGTGAACATCTCAGACTGATGATACAGCAGATATCATACAGCAGTTTCAGTCCGACATTGGTCATTGAAGTTGTGCTAACTGCTAGATCACGGTCCATTACCATCAATGAGCTTGCTGAGCTGGGTGCCTCCGGTGGTCTCGGCCGCCTCGCTCCTCCGGGATCCTTTCCGGTATCGGATCTTGTAGCCCGTGATCTCCCCGTTCTGGGCGTTAAGGGGAGGGGGCTGCCAGCGGAGCATGATGCTCTGAGGGGTGAAAATCAGGACAAGAGTCAGATGAGACAAAACGTAACGTTTGGCACATGCGGGACCATCTGCTTTCGGGCCGGCAGCTGTTAAGGTGACCTCGTGCTTTAGCAGGTAGCATCACACTTTCCCACAAACCTTGGCGTCGGCAAGTTGTGTGAACGCAACTCTGCAGGGTTTACTGTTCTGTTTGGCAGAGACGCTGTCTTACCTGTCCCTCCCATCCAACTGACAGTGGTGCAAATGGGAGGGCCCCGCAAAAACAAACACCCCTCTGAGCGTGGGTGACGCAGTGCAGACTGATGCGTTAGGAAGAAATAAACAGATTAATAATAGAAGGAGGTGTCCTGATGAGAGGGGTGTGTGGGTGGGTGTGTGTGTGTGCGCGCGCGCGCGTGTGTGGTCAGACTAACCCTGCCGAGACACAGAGACGAATGCAGGATTTTTGCTGGCGGGTCTACGCTGCTCTGTTGTGGGATTCATGCATCTGAGTTTTTGTGTGTGTGTTTAAAGAGATAGGTTGGGGGTAGCTCAGCGTGGGAGAAGAGTTAATTAACGCTTCCCCACTGTCACACTGAAGCACAAAAGCGTGAATACATGCACAGGGCACACACACGCTCCTCCCCAGCTGAGTTGAGGGAATTGCACAAATTAAATTTGTGTTAAGTGTGTTCAATTATTTCCATTTTTCTTATTACACTATCAGCGGTAACTTGCTATGTGTGTTGCTTTTTCTCCTTTCTTTTCCCTAATCATGAAAACCTGTTTAATTGACTTTTTGGCAAATCACAAGGGGAGGTGGGAAGCCAGATGCCAAAAGGAAAAATAAGATCACAAAACCATGACTTTCAAGTTTTCTTGCAGGTAAAAAAATGTGAGGTTCTGCTTGACAAGACCCAAAGAGGGGACTGAATATGAAATGCATGTTAATTAGTTTTCTTTCCAGTTCCATTTGACTGGGCACATCACATCGGCTAATTGCATAAATGCTTTGTATCTATAAATTATTGACTTAATGGCTGTTTACATTCAGAATTAAACACAATGACAACAGAGACAGAAAAAAAATAAATAGAAGACTAATTTTAATAATGTTTAGAAATAAAGAATGCCAGATGTTTGTTTTGCAGTTTTAAATTGGTTTGTGTGGCTCTAACTGGGGACGGACAGCTGGATGTAAACTATTCATTCAGAAAACAATCCTGCCCTTTCCACCGAGTGAGCCGTCTTTATTTTACTCTTAACATTAGCATGAGGGCTTTTTTTTTTTTCCCCCTCTTATCAAATCTCTGCTGAGTATCCCTCAGCATGGGTGGCCAGTTCTCACTCAAGCTGGGAGTGTGTGATAGGATTTTATATCAGTTTTTTTTCTTCTAGTCAGCTTTGACAGTTCTCTCTCACTCGGCATCGACCAGCAAAGGGCTAAAAATGTCGGCTGCTGTTTTCATAGTCTGCAGGCACCCTGAGGTTTCTTCTTCTTTTTCTGGTGCTCTCTGTTTGCACTTGCTGTCTCACGTGTCATGAGTGAGAAACATCTTTTGTAAAAAAAAAAAAAAAAAAAAAAAAAAATTTAATCCAATATCCGGGTGGAAATATACAATAAATACGCCTACAGCTCTCTTTTTGAAGATCAAATGGCTGAAAAGACAGGCAGCCGAGGCCAGTTTCCTGTTTAATCAGAAGCCTGTTTCGTAGCCTGCATCCACCTCGGCAGCCTTATTTTATCAAGAGGATCATGCAAGAAACACAGTATTTATAACTGTAATAAATCTGATTTGACAACAACACTTAAAAAAGAGTGTGAGACACCAGGAGTTGCCGCCTGGCTGTGAGAGATTTGATAGTTATCTCTCATCCAAAGAGAAATTCAATCGCGATAAAAGAAATCTCACTTTCTCACTTACCCTGTCAGCTAAAAAACATTGCTGAGATGGCTGTTACAAGGGTAGCTTTGTACATAGTGTCTCAATAAACCTTGATTTGACAATTTAAAGATCAAAAGACATCTAGACAGCTGTGATAGTTGGGCTAATTTGGTTGAATTTTTAGTTGAATTTCAAATGAGTGTTCAACTGTAAAGCAGAACTTGTTGAAATATTTACAATCTGCTGATCCAACAGGTATACGGAAGCTGCCATCCAAAAAATCGTACTTTTCAAAAACATTTTTAACCTGGTTTTCAACTGGATGTCTACACTTCTTTTGACCTGTAAACCACCCAATCAATCCTTCCTCAGATTCTTTGACCGATACCTTAACTACCTGGGGATCATTTCTGGCATGCCAATATCTTCCAGGATAATATTTTTTTCGTATCCATTTTAGATTTGAGCTTCGGGCTTCTTTGCCAGATCCTGTGCAGATGGAGAGTTATACAGAGGCTAAAACCTTCTGACAGGCAAGTCTCCTGGCGATGAGTGGATCGATGAAGGTTCACACACCCTCTTAACCAGCTGGGGCAACAGGCCTCTGACGTAGCTAATCACATAGAGAAACAGCAGTGTCCTGGCTTGCAGGCTGTGGATCTGTTCAACTGTTCGTCTGTGTGAGTTTGTGTATTTGGTGAAGCGGCTACATACACTGTACACGAGTCAGTGAGTTTAGTTGCATTTGTTGTTTCTATGTTGCACCTGAGAAACTGTGCGCAACAAACATGGATGCCTTTAGTTTCTCATGACAGAAAAATCCGGATCAGTTACAGGTTCTCCAAACTGTGGCATCCTGTTCAGTTCAGGCAATTAGGACTTACCTTTGAGTTCTGGACCTCCAGAGTGAGGTTTTGAGGAGGGCCGCTTGGTACTGTGAAACAAAAGAAAACAGACCATTTTTTTCAGTCTACAGCAAAACAGGACACAGAGACATGCGCTAAGAGAGCTAAAACAATTAGTCAGTTAAGGCAGATGCTATTTGCACCCAGGTGTCCGTAGCCAACGATGCTTTTTGCACCCAGGGTGGATAGTCAATGTAGCTATTTACACCTTGTTGTCTATAGTAATAGAACATATATAGCATATAGCAATATATGGCAGAGACAACTACCCAGGTGTCTGTAGCTAACAATGCTATTTGCACCTGAGGCGGATAGCCAATGTGGCTATTTACACGCAAGTTTTGTTGGACCACTTCATTAAATTACATGGGAGAAGACCTGGCAGAAAGGCTTTCTAACACGTGGTTAACGTGGTTTGTTTCCATGTTACTATTTTCACCCGGGTGCAAATAGACAATTAATGACAATTAGTCAATAATGTCACAAGCTAAAAGCAATCTCGGCAGATCTCTTCATTAAACCAACTGACCATCAGACAGGGTACGAACAATGATGTCCTCAGTGGAGACACCTGGACCGTGCTTGTTGTTGGCCACCACACGGAAACTGTATTCTGTGTTCTTCTTCAGCCCAGTCATGGTGTAGGACTGACCATCTATATCAATGTCCTGAAAGAGAGGGAGGAAGGACGAGAAACATTTACAAGCTAGTCTCTTTCAACTCTAAAAACAGGATTGTGTGACTACAAACACCTATTATTGTCTTCAACTCAAACGTCTAAGAAACATCAGATAAAGCAAAATGTATCATATTTTCACCTTCTCATCAATAAGTGACAATTCATTATGTAAAAACATGAAAATGGAATAAATGATGTAAAGCTTATATGAATAAGGTAAATGTTTTCACTACCATCAATACCTGCAAAATAAGATCAAACTAATTTGTGAGTATTTCACTGCTGACAGCGTGTTTGATAACCGCAGAAAAGCTGCTATTTAAGCATTCAAGTTTAATAATGGAAGTAAAAGGCTGTAAATAAGAACTTCCAATAGATTTAAAACACAAGCAATCTCTCATATGTGGTGATGCTACAAAATGTGATGCCTGCTTTCATCATTTCATCACACCAACATTTCAGTTGGTAATTCTGAGTAAAAATGTAATTTTCCACTGAGAAACAAATTATGCCTTCTGTGATTACGATTTTTTGCTTTACAAATTGGGCACGCTGGCCCGTGCCCAATTTGCATTCAGCTCTATGCTTGTGACATTTTGACTAAAAAGAGGCAAATTTGCGGATCTAACGTGAATCTAATCGTGCTTCCAGAGCCGTCCAATCACAACCTCTGAACTCCGGTCAGATGACGGCCTGTGACCACATCACCCTTCAAGAGGCATCATATGCTGTCCCTGACTTTCTCCCGTCATTTAATATTTCATGTCCCTTCTGCACTGTGTCTCTCTCTAACTTCATCTCTGTTCTGTCCCTTTCCTCCACCTCTTCTTTCTCTTTTTATCCTTCTCTTCATCTTCCCCGTTTTCCACCTCATCTCTGGCTCTCTTCTCCGGGGAGCTGAGGCATCATTACTCAGTGCGCTGGCTGACGTTTCATCCATTATCATATTAAAGGGTTTTTAATGCCTCACTGGCTTGCACACTGCTACTGCTGGGGCTGACTCAATATCTAAGCAGCTAGCTTTCACTCCTGTGACAGAGTTAGACCAGCAGAGAAGAACTGGGTGAATCCTATCTGCTTCCTTTTCACACAATATGTGTTTTTGTGTGAGATGTGTGAACAAGAGTGCGGCCAAAGAGCAGTACAAAGAGTCTTTTGGCAAATGACTAGGATCTTCTTACCTCATCACAATTTACATTAGAGAATGCAGTCATACACTTTTTTTTTTTAATCTAATGGACCCTGCAAAATCAAGCGTCAGCCACACACAGCACTTCTCCTTTCAAACTGCAAAGTGAGCGCTGAAACAAGGACATCAACAATATGTTTCTGTCCAACTTTTACATTTATTTCAAGAGAATTAAATATGTCACTGTCAATAGAATGGAGGCAAAACACACAACAAAACATTGTAATACAGGAAATATGTTTGACGGCAGCGTCAGTATCAAATTTAAAAAAAAAAATGAACATTACTTTGAAAGCGTATCCAGATGTTACTAACCATTTATTTCATTTCACTGGATACCTTTTCTCTTTTTTTTCATCCAGCTGAGTTTTTACTTTTTATTATTTTGTTTAATTTTAAAAGCTGATCTACAACTAAAGATAAAGATTAAAAAAATGATGATCGGGTCATGTTGGTGAGATTAGGAAAAAAAAACTTGAGCTACTCCAATACCTGAAACAAGTGACGTCAGATAATCTACTTTGGGATTTTTCTATTAATACATGAATAAAGCTGAGAGACTGGAGACATCCTCCAGCGATATCCTACCTCTTCATTGCCGACGCTTTTGTCTGTGTAGTACAACTTGTAGGTGAGGATCTCTCCGTTGCCAGTGAGAGGCTTGTCCCAGCTCAGAGAGACAGAGGTGGGCGAGTTCGACACAGCCAGCAGGTTTGGAGCAGGGCCGGGCACTTGGACTGATGAAAAACACGAAGCGGAAGAGAATTTAAAAAACCTTTAAATCTGACCACTTGCAACCAGAAGAAAAGAATTCAGTTAAGTAACGTCCAGTGATTCCTGCCAAACAATTTGGCTACTTCAAAGTCACATTTCCTTATGTTAGCAAGAGGTCAGATCACTCGCCGCAGCTCTCTGGAGACCAATCTGTCCCCTCTGGACTGGGCTGCCGGCCATCTTGACTTACTTGTTATCCTCATGACAAACAAACTGTAGGTGTTTCACGATAAAAACGTCAATGTGCATCTTGCATTCCTCCAGCATCTGCCTCTAGCTTATATTCAGCGTGGTTGACAGTTTATTTCATTGTGTCTGGCTAGTCAAGATAGCGGGCAGGATTAGACAGAGAGTGTATTACTGTGTAGCTGTGTATCAGCTTTATACTACGGCTGCTAGACAGCTCTATTTTGGTAAGATAAGCACAGAAGGGCAGATACGTCCATCTAGTGTGTTTAGCAATAGGGTATATCTTAAATTAAATGCTTACATAAACACAAGTAGCCGACATGGTACTTTGTTTGGAGTGAAAATTATCTAACAGCTTATAAAAACTTAACAAATGAGAACCTAAGCATACATTACTGTGTGTATATATATATATATATATATATATATGTATATATGAATTTATGAATTTATGTGAGCTTGTCCGACTACTTTATGTCCCCTTCACACCTGGAGACTAGACTATGGAGAAATAGAGCTATAATTCCTCCTACACTGTTCATCTGATGCAAATGTAAACACACTCAAATTCAAGCTGGCAGCCAGCAATTTAACCTCTAAGTAAACATTTCATTTCATATTATGCTGGAGGTCAGAGCCAACGTAATAAAATATGTATCATTGCCCTAATAATTTGTGACTGCGCTGTACACAGAACTCCCTGTGTCAGTGCATAAATGGACAGTGACATTTCCTGTTGTCTCTGTACTGTGCCACATTGGATTTAAAATGAAACAGAGACTACGAGGTTAAAGTGCTGGCTGTCAGACACAGATATATGTCTGTGCTGCACATATCTTGTGAGCTTTAGCTGCAGGTGTCCCTGACAGAACAGAGAAGCTCCCATTTGTCAGTGTGGACGGATGTTAGAGGTGTGTGTTTCCTGAGTTGTGCGTGTGCGTGTGCGTGTGTGTGTGCGTGTCCAGGTGTATTAAGCCCTCTCTCTGAGGAGAAGTGATACGGGTCAGCCGTGTGTGCACACACCCGGCACTCAGATGCAGGTCAACAGTTTAAGCTCCAATTCATAGCATGTTCTTACACTAAAAGTGCACACACACGACAGAGATATACTGCACAGGTACAGCCCGCCCTCACTGCTATCCCCATGGGTGGCTCGGCTCCTGCTGGCAGGCATTAAGGTGTAGTGTGTGTGTATTTGTGTGTGTGTGTGTGTGTTGTTCTGTCTGCCCTCCAACCAAGGACACGGTTAGAGAAACAGCAGCTGACCTAGAAAACGACAGTGACGGAGCTGTAGCTGAGCCAAGAGGTGAGGGACATCCACCCTGACAGTGTGCAGTGGGAAATCCCCTTCACAGCACTTTCAAATATGGGTGACACCGAGAGGAGCAGCCATGGGGAGCTTGCACACCCAAACACAAAGAGAAAGCACTTGGCCTCCTCTCCTCTCGATGATTCTTATGTGTCTTTCAGTCAAAATATTGTAATGAGCTTCTGTATAGCATCTCTGTACAGACTGGATGAGGGAATTATGTTAAAAAAAAAAAATCTGGAACGCTAATGTCAAACATTCCTCACTCAAGTAGGCACGGCTTAAAGCAGCGAACACACACACGAAACACACACAGAGGGCTTATACTACATGTTGGGGAGTAAACAAGAAGTGGCTTACAAGAAAACGCTGCCTCTCTCTGGTCTGCTGTTGGGTGGTCTGACTTAAAGCACAGCACTAAATAGCGTCCTCTATGTGCGTTAGCGTGTGTGTGTGTTTGGGGGGGGGGGCTCTGTTTGAAGTGAGCGTATGCTGTATGCGAGTGAATATTTGTTTGTGTGAATGTTTATTTGCACATTTGTGCGCTCCTTTTGAGTGCATCCTGTTTGCCTCAGTGTGCCAGTGTGAGCACATTTCCAACAAACTGGCTTGAGTTCGCTTTTATGTTTGTGCGTCCTGTTTACTGTGTACATATAAATTAACGTTTGTGAGTGTGTGTGTGTGTGTGTGTGTGAGTGTGTGAGTGTGTGTGTGCCTTTACCTTAAAACTGGGTGGCCACTTTGAGCGCTGTAGAGCTCTCTCCCTGGCCGTTGCTGTTGTGGGCCACAACCCTGAAGCGATATTTGGTGTCTGGCATGAGATTCTGGATGGTGACCTGCATCTCCCCTGGACGGCTGGTATTCACTACTCGCTCCCTGGTGTGGACAAACACGGACAAGCAACACAACATTTAAGGATTTCAGTGTGTCACATTTGCTGAATTTAGGTTGGTTAGAGTCAAATTTAGGGAACATTTCCAGTGGTATAATTGTTGGATACTTAATGAACTGTAGGACTGGCAGACAGTTAAATTATACAGTACATGCTTGTATATTGTAGTACTTATCAGTTAATCATTTAGTGATTAAAAGGTTATGAAATGAGGAAAACATTTCTTTCCAAGAACTCAAGGTGACATACTCAAATTGCTCGCTTTGTCCATTTAACATCTCAAATGTTTGAAATTTGCAGTGATTGAAAACAGGAACTCAGTAGAACTACACATTGAAGGAGGTGGAAGCATTTGGCATTTTAGCTTTTTAAATGTCTCAAATGAACTAATTTTCTAGTCAATCAGCTAATCAGTTAGTCAACAAATTGACTAAAGATGAGCATGTTAGCACTCATCTGTCTACAGTTGGTTTCAGACAAAGTAATGAGTGCTTAGCTGCGCTGATTCGTGTGCGCGGTGTGTGTACACTCCATTTCCTCATACAGTACAGTAACGTTTGCATCTACACATCAAGCACACGCTAAATCACTTCTGTTTAAGGCCATTTCTGAAACTTGCTTAAAGATGTTTTACAGTGGAAACACAAAAAGTGGCCAAAACACTAAAGACCAGTTGCAGACAAAAAAAAAAACTCAGCTTCTTGAATTTCCTGCTCAGTCATGTACAGTAAATCCTCCACACAAGAAGCTGGGAAGAATTTATCACAGGGCTACTTGAAAAAATGAAATTACAGTGTTTGAACTGATTTTTTTTTTTTTTTTTTTTTTTTCAAAATTAAAAAAGGTAATCCTTTAGGGAAGAAGTTTGTTTTTTAATTAATGAACACTTACTGCCATGATAAGAGCTCTAACTGCATTAATTAGATACTCTCGAATGGTCTTAGACTCCTGCACAGGCATGGTTGTATATTAGTACCTGTTGTTGATGCCAGTAGTAATGTGTGTATTTGTACCCTCCAGGCAGTACTACAGCACAGTGTGTGTACTACCTGCTCGTGCCCTCCTGGCTGTAGAAAACAGAGTAGGTTAACTCGTCTCCATGCGGTTCAGGTGGGGGGCGCCAGGTCAGCTTGATGAAGCGGGTGGAAACCAGTGAAGCCACGACGTCTCGGGGAGCAGAGGGGGTGGGCCCTGCTGGACTTGGCTACACCTCCGGAGCCTGGCGTTACATGGTCAGTAGTGTTAGGAGTCAGTGAGGGGGGAGGGAAGAGGGCAGGGCTACGTCTTTGGGTTGGGAGGAGGAGGAGGAGGAGGAGGAGGAGGAAGAGGAGGGAGCAGGGAGGGAGGGAGGGATGGTGGGATGGGTGAGGAGCCGGGGAGGGGCAGGAGACAGTGGTAGCGTTTGTGGTGGGGGTGGGGGTGGGGTGGGGGAATCGCACAGAGGCGTCCGAAAGGAACAGGTCGAGGAGGAGAGGTAAGGAGTGGGAATGGAAATGACAGTGAAACGAAAGGAAGGAAGGAAACAAAAAAAAGAAGAAAAAACAAAATAACAACAACGTAACAAAAAAAAGACTTTTGGCGTGACAAGGAACCACAGAAATAAAACACTTCTACTACACTCACAAAGCTGACAAATAAAAGCACAATACAAGGGGGACTACACATGCAAGTCTACACACAGCTCTCTAATGTAAGGGCAGTGGGAGCAGAACATAATGTCATACATTTCATAGACGGCTTTCCCGCCAATCATTTGTGATTAGAAATGATTGGTTTGCATTTTTTGTGACATTTTTATTAACTAAAAAACTGACTAGCATTCAATGGCAAACAAAGGTAGACAGTGTTTTGACAGGGACAATGCCACCTTGTAGCCCTTCAAATGCACACAAGAAAACCGTCTATGTGATCAAGAAATTAAACCGTTTTTATTTCAGACAGTGTAACAAGTGAGGAATAACCCAGCACCCCCACCCCCAAAAAGTTGTGTCTAGATTCTGTCAACTAACACACCATATGATTTTTTTTTTAAACACTTCTGCTGTCACATTCCTCAGCCTAGCCACAGAAATGTTTGTGATTTCAATTTTTTTTTTTTTCTTTTCTTTTTGGAGGAACAATCTGCGGTCAGGCTCAGCAAGATCTGCTTTCCATTTGTCTGGCAAGTGGGCAAAACAAAACCGTACGGAAAGAATGTCAGTATGTATGACATTTCCATTTGTTTGTAGGTCGGGGAAATTGACTGGAAGGTAAAGCTGAAATACACAAAAAGGAGCAGGGCAAGTGTAGAGTGCAAATAGCGTATTATTACTAGAGGAAGTGCGTTAAAATGCAGAACAGCCGCTGGCGTTCACGGCATGTGGACTAACTGCTAATTTGGCTTTCAATATTTGTCTACATTTCAAATTTCCAGAGTTCACTGACTTCTGTGATTGCAGTGATACAGAGAATTTGCTGGTATTTTCTTCCAAAGAATTACACGTTCCCAACGCACTTTTCTGTACATAAACTCTCACTCTGTCACTCACACGCACACACCGGCGTGCTCAAATAGATTTACACCAGGTGACTGATGTAGTCAGTCAAGATTTTTCCAGTGTTTGATAGTAAAAACAAAAAAAAAGGACCCCTTGGTTGTCTTGTCTGTATGTTTAGGATCATTGTTTAAAAAAATTGGGGAAGTCAATAACCTCGAAACAGCCTTGAAGCTGGAAGTCAGCACAAAATCACTGTTTCATCTCAAATCCCGCCGACTGGAATCGAGCCAGCAACAATAAAAACACATTTGTGGGCAATTTCTTTCTGACTGGCAGATGTAAATTTTTACCAGATGCTGCAACAATTATCCTCTTTAATACAGCCACACACACACCACACACACACACACATACCACACACAACAGAAAATTGCACAACATCTTTGGGTGTCTCACATCCACTGGCGAATGGGTTATTGCAACATCAACAACCATAACCAGGCTTCACAGGATTTAACAAAAGCTTGAAACCTCTTTGTGACTGAGAGAGCATGTAGTGAGAATAACAGCAATTACTGCCACAAATTATTCGTTCATCATTTCGCAATAATTATACATCCAAAAAAAAAAAATGCTAACAATACTAAATCTTAACATGTGGTTTCTGGGAAATGTAGACCCAAACGCTACTAGACATTAACTACTCATAACTGTTTACATTCTATGAGCCAAAGGCATCCTTGTCTGGCTCTCGTGTTTGTGTGGCAGCTTAGCAGACAGACAGAGAGGGAGCAGTACCCTAGGAGTCTGATTCAAACCCTTCAAATATAACAACTCTTCTATAATAGAAAGGCATGGTTGGCTTCATATGTGTATTTATAAGAGGACAGTTGGAATCAATTAACTGTTTTCCAGAAAACAACAAGAAAGGGGGGAAAAAAACACACACATAAACAAAGGCTAAAAAGCTTAAAACAAGAAAATCAATACTAGCACAAGTAGCAGGTAAAAGTAAGCGAGTGGAATGCTATTGGAAAAACTCTTGAAAATGGACACAGACTTCTGCTTGTTTATAGGCTGGATAAGCAGCACTACAGGATGAATATGTTTTGGCAGATTTTGACCCAAATTATGTAATCAACTATTCATTAGCAAGATAGGTATCACTAAATTCAGATGGAAGTAAAAAGACAAGACATAGAATTGAGATAAATCCAAGGAAAATCAGATATTGGCCCCTTTAAATTAAAGTTGCATAAAAGTGCTTGGCAGGCACATTCAGCAAAACAAAGAGTAAATAGGATTCTAATGAAAGCGGGTCTGTAACAAATGACTTTCACTTACTGAGTATAAAGATAATGATTAAGAATTTCGAAATTAAGTGAACAAACTGATTGTGCATCTAGGAGGAGTTTGGTGGACACATTCTCAATAACCAGAAGGGCCCTATAGCTCACAATAAAACATGTATGACCGCGCATCTACCATTAGTGTAACATTAAGAAAAGAGCTGACGGATCAGAAAATCAGATTTTCCCTGCAAAGCCCCTTTCCTTCTCTTAAAAGCGAATCAATACTCTAGCGACCAGCAAAAAGTAGGACAGTTTCCCGGATCTCCACAACATGTTTCATGTTTAGTCCCGTCGTGCATTGGTCTGGAGTCCGAGCCTCTCCTGTTGATTGAGACAGAACGTAGTCAAGTCAATGTTTTCAACATGTTAGTGTAGACCGTTCTTCAGAAACAAACCCAACCTTTATCTTTTGTTGGCTGTGTTGCTAGAGAAATACTGCACTGTTAGCAGGGGAAGTTTTAAGTGCCCTGTTCAGGGAAAAAAAGAGAGCAGATAAAGGTTGTAGTGCTTACCTACAGAGGAAGGGCTTCTCAGAGGTCAGAGGGAATTTACCTGAAAGTGGCACTGGAAACAGGGCACACCTGTCTCCTGACACTTTGTTTGCCCTTGCCCGGTTGGCGAATCTCAGACAAAGGCGCTGACGATGTCTTCTCTCTTTGAAGCAGTAAGGGACACACACCGGTGGTAAGAAAAAATAATCCTGAAATCAGTGTCAGGTCAGAGTAAGAGAAAACCGTTTGCATTTGTGGGATAGGCAAAGGGAGGCATATTAAAAACCATTTAGATTGTAGTTGTCCCATCTACGTACACCTTGTCAGCTGTAGGTAATTGAATGCTGAGGCAGTTTCGGTGTCTTCTGAACAATCTGTCCTTGTACAATGCATGCCTAGTGATTGTTAGCAGAAGAGGTGCGCCTCCACTGCCACTGCCAACTCTAATTCTAGTGATTAATATGTCATTAGTCTCTGTGCCAGAGTGTAATGAATGGCTGGCATTAAGGCTTAACGAGGAAGGTTACCTAGATCTGCATAATAACTCTGGGTAGGCAATACGCAAAACAGTCAGGAAAGACATGCAAAAGCAAACGCATTCATCTTAATATTCAAACGAGTAAAGCCGTTTCTGAAATTTAAATATAATCGGAGTAAGCGTTAAAGTTCGATTAAAGACTATCATATAAACTTTTATCTTGTGTTGCTCAACTCTATAACCTATTGCTGTGGTCCCCTGTGAGCGTAGCTTGTAAAGTTTGCCGCCAAAGTACTTTTTTCATCATCCTGGTCTGAGCCCACGATAAGAGAGCCTACCTCACTGGCTCAGACTATGCAACCCACCAAAAGAGCATAAATCTATCTGAAATGCAGATATCAGCCAAGGCGCCCACAGCACTGCACTACAGATAGCCTTAAGAGAAAATTCAGCAGGCCATGCCAGGCTTCTCGCTAATGGATTTTTCAGACTAGTTTCCATGTTAATGTGTTCGGTAATGATGACTATCATAAGAGACGGATCCAGCACAATGCTATGGATCCATTATGAGTCAGGTACTTTTTATCTGCCATAGAAAAGAAGAATGAGAAGAGCAAGAAATGACATACACCCAAAAGGCAGGGAAACTAGAGCCTTCTAAGAAAAACCAACACAAAGAAGACGCCAATTCAAACTGCCATCTTTGTCATGTTTCCAGCGAAACGCAATAGGCGGCACGATGGGAAAACGTATGATATAACTGCAGCGGCCAATCTCTGGGTTTGTGCGGTTGAAGTTGCATGATTAGATTTCTTTCTGAACGAGACTAAAAATGTATTGAGACAATTATTTCATTAAATGTGAGGTGATGTAAGTAACAACAACTAACTTCAATTGCTTCCTCACGGGTTCTCAAGTACCGAGGAGGCTGCATTCAGACCCTTCATGTAAAAAAAAAAAAAGTGTCAAAAATATAGGAAGAGTTTGCCTGATGACTCAATGTATATTGTAAGAGGAGAGTTTTTTTTGTTTCCAAAAAAGAAAATACTAGCACAACAAGTCAAGCACCGGTTAGCGCACCACGACAAGACAAGATTTCTCCTTATTTATATTTCTACTGTACAGCACTGAAACAAAACTTAACAGAATGAATCCTTTTTTACGAGATTTATAATTTATGTATTTCAATATTCATTAGGAGATAGGTAATCAGTAATAATCCAAATGGAAGTGAAAAAGAAAAGACGAGTAAAATCACAGGAAATCAGGTTTCATTATGGTTGCATAAAAGTTGCTGCAGGCAAATTCAAGCATAAAACAATAAATAAACAGGATTTTCTCTGAAAGAAGGTCTGTAATTTAAAAATTAGTTTCATTACTCGAGATAAAGATATTGAAAATTACAATTTCAACACTTCTTCGATTAATGTAGTGGAAACAATTTGTTCCATTAGGCAACCGCTGCAACTGTGATGTTTTTTTTCCCCCCTTACATGTTGTTCCTCTCGCTTCCTTTTCAAAGATAAGACTGAAAGATGAGCAAGCCTGACCAGCTCATGGAACATCTTGAAGCACGCTCCTACGCCCAGAAAGGAAACTGTAGTCAGAACGAAAGAAAATGTTTCGACGAATGAAAAGTGAGAAGTGAGGAGTGAACAGTGGGAGCGAGAGAAAAAGGCTGCCAAGCATGGAGTTTTTTTCTTCTTCCTCTTCAGTTGGTTTGAGTACCATGTAACAACAATAACAAATTCCCATTTTATAACAAACATTTTCAACACCTACAAATGCTATACAAGCAATACTACATAAATGAAAACCAATTATAAAACAATAAAAAAAAAAATCTGAGTACATCATCAACAAAAGAAAGAAACATAAAATTTGCTTTGTGCGCAGGGAAAATAATAAAACCCTCTGCTCAATTTCACCGCAAGGGACAGGCTTGTTTAGGGATATAAGCCTCGTTGTGGGACATTTTCTGCACTCTGCATTGTTGTTCAGACACCTTATCAGCTGTGCGCGAGGGGAAACTGCAGAGATACAAGTATCAGATTGCTGAGGGGTGGGAGCGTATCAGTTAACTGCACACATTCTCTCTGGCTGTGAATTGCGAGAGCAGTCCGAGATGTAAAGTGCAGCTCCAACCTCGACAAAGGCTTAAACTGACAAGGTTGTTCACCACTGACATAATCCAGCAAGAAAAAAAAAAAAATAAGTCTTTGTGTCTCAAACTTGATATCTCTGAAAAATTTCAAAAGCATCTCCTTAGATTCCTCCTTTCACTTCTAGGTGCATGTTTACAACGGTCAAAAAAATATTTTGAAATCTGGCAGCGTTCCCGGGAGTAGAAATAGAGCTTTTTTTAATTAAAAGAAAAAACATGGAAATCTCAAAAATGTACGAATTTTCTCCCTTTAATCTACACGTCTTTAGCGTGAAATCTTTTCTGGAACAAGATTTTTAGATTGATGATGAATGATACTGATGATGAGGCCAGATGGGACACATCAAAAGTCAGCAATTAAGAGGAAATAACTTTTTGGTGGTCAGCGCTTACACGTGTCATGCCTCAGAAT